TTAAGTAAGCTGCTGGTCCTTCCCTCTCCAGACTCGCTGGGTACCACCAGAAGACCCACACCAAACTAAGCCTGCCAGTGGCCTGGACCACTTGTGGGACCTTCCTGGAGCTGAAGGTACCAGCAGGCTGCTACATGAACTCTCTGCAAGCATATTAAGAACCAGCTTCCACCTCCTTTTTTCCAACAGGAACATCAAGAAAGACCATCACCTGGAGCTAAACCATCTGAGAGGCCAAATGGGCACAATCTGGGGCAGCCAGGGGCTCCTGAAGGACACAGCAGTTCAGACACCAAAGCCAGAAGCATGCTAATAGCAATCTCAACAACCCCACTCCCTCTCCTTCCAAGCCACATCTGCCCTCCTGCTCCTCCACAGAAACACATCCAGGTAGCAGATGTCCAAGAAGATTTTTCCCCCTGTTTTTACTGGTTCTTTTCAGGCTTTATACAGGGGTGATGAAGCAATAAGCTTGTGGAGGTGCTGAAACAGAGCTGACAGCTTCCCCTTTCTGCTTTTCTTCAGCCTGTTTAAGCAGACCAAGAATATGCCATGTGTGGCACTCAGAGCAGATTTTCCCTCATGGTTTTTAATGTAATTGTAATTGGGATCTTGCCGTCTGAACGAACGTGTTGTCTGAAATATATGAGTACTCCTGTATACTGAAGAAATTAGGAATGAATTGCAAGTTCTTAATTGACAGTACAAAACATCAATTATTCTACAGATGAATAACAAAGGAGAAAATTACAGGTGCAAGAGCTAAACAGCCACTGATTAAAATAATTTTAAAAAATTCTGAATGAAGTACTGGAATAGGACAAAAGTACCTGTGCTTCCCATTTGCATAGTTAAATCAGAATGCTAAGAGACAGTAGGAAATCAAAATGGAGATCAGTCATATCCCCACACAGGTTGCTTTTCTTTAAGTGCAAGTGCCTTCAAAGCTATAAATAACACATGCTTAGTTAGCAAGCAGTGGAAACAAGTGTGTGAATGTAGCCATGTGTGCTCACACACACATACACACACACCCCCACCATCTGAATTTTCCCACCAACAACTGTGGCAGTTGGCCCAGATCACAGCAGTGACATGCTGCCAACAGACTGATCAACCTCACAGCAGACTAAATTAGAAATACATTTCCACAGATTAAATTTCAGAGGACTGTGATGCCACTTTAAACTCCATTAGATTCTGCTCCTTGCAATCCTTTAAACAAACACAAAAGCTAGAAAACCACCCCCCTCCATTCCCTCCACCCACCCGCTTTACCAGAAGTCCCAACAGGATGAAGGCTCCATATTGGATCAGAGTCAAGACAGATATATTAGCAACCAGTCTAAAGCTACCACTAGCCTAAAATCTCACAGAAGAGAAGGAAAAAAAGAAATCAAACCATGCGCATTAAGGTGGAAAGGCCTCAGCAGGAAACTATGGGTGGTGTTGACCAGTGCTGCTCACAGATGCAACGGAGACCTCAGAACTGCAAAGGGGAACTCAAAACACAAGCTTTGAAGGATTCACTAGGTAAGACTTTTGCAGACAAGGCCTATCTGTAACAAATGCATACCCTTTCAGCAGGTAATGGGACAAAACAACAGCAAGAGGCATCATTACCGCACATCAAGGATGGAGCATCCCCTAGCTAAGGGGACAGGGGTGGGAGGGCACCTGCCAAAAAAGAAACATACCACAAGAGCTAATACAACAATTGGGAGATTAAACTGAAAGATGCTATCTTCAATACATGATCTAAGACACAGGGCTGTGGAGAGTCCCAAGAAAAATGACCACTCAGGTAAGATGTCCTTCTTTAGCTTCATCTGGAAAGTCAGCTGTACCTCACGCTAAGGTCCCCAAGTCTGACACGCAGGCTCACAGACACACACCAGTAATCCCAGACACACATCATACAGCTCCAGCCAAGGCTCAGGCACCTGTTACCGTGAGATAATTTGGGTATCTCTCTGTACAGATGCCTTGTCTGTACATGGGTTGCAAAGTGGAGGAGCTCACCTAGTTTAATTATCAGTCCAGCTTCTGGGACAGCTAAGAACAATGGCAACCCCTCCACCCCCTGTCAGATGAAAAGCCTCACTCACATGGAACAATAAAGGACAGTGAGCAGGTAGAGAAGGGGAATTGCCAACCAGGTTTCTCCTCTTGCAGGAACAAGTACTCAGGCAAGTTAAACACTTCTTCAGTTTATAGTCAGACAAAACAAAGGAGGATGTGGAGGACTTATGAGAGGTAGACAAAAACCCATTCAGGATAACAGAATGCTAAGCATAAAAGAAATTTCCTTTTTCACTACTATTGGCCTCAATTTTATGGTCTTTACAACCACGAACTCGAATGGTCCTGCTGCAGATACAGTCAAATTGCTGAGAGTTGAAATGCACAGAATATATTCAAGTGTAGCACCGGTACATTTGTCTAGGTGCTACTCAGGTGCGGTGCTACGGCCCGTTCTTTGAATAAGGCTATCCCTCTAGGCTGCTGCAAGACTCCTACCTCGAAGACAGAGGAAAGTGAGAAAATCTTCTGTCTTGGGCTTCCTTTTGGAGAGGTCAGAAATCTGAGTGGCGGGAGGGGGTAACAACGGTTCCACTATCTTTATTGGAGTTGTGCTGGGACTGTTTGGCTGGGACTGAGCAAACTTCCTTTGTGCTTGCAGCCTTGGCCTGTGGAAACAAGAGCATATCAGAAGCACGTTAGGCAGAACTTGCAGGAGAGACATCAAAACATAAAAAATTCAGTTTTAAAAAAAAAGAAGAAGAAAAGAAAAAAAGAGAGAACGAGATCTCAATCCATCTCCCACCAGTACGATATCCCTACCTGGGTCAATTACGAAGACAGTAATTTGTTTGCTTTACCCTTTGGTATCTTCTGCAATAATTTGGAAAACCAGAAAGGGAACATCTTGACTATAAAATCTGTGACTACTATTTCATATGTTCCAAGTATTTTCTTGCACATCATACAATTACAGTTTACCATTCACTTATTTGGAAATTAAATCTGTATTTTGCACCATGAAAATGTCTTAAGTGTTAGTGTTCTTTGCTTCTTGTTTTTAATTAATTTACAAATTAGGTTTATTTTAGCCCCATTAATGTTTTAATTTATTCCAATCTGCTAGAATCTTATTTATATGGTAAAATATATATTAATAGATAAGGTATTTATGTCAGTGCCCAGTTCTTCAAAAACAAATTAAAACCTTTTGACAGGGAAAATATCAGGTAAAAGCCAGTAGATTTTTTGTTCCCTTGGCCACAGCCTAGAAGACAGTAAGCAAAGAGGTTCGGGGTGGGGTTAAGTAGTATTTGTGACAAAATTTTAAGAATGAAGGACATGCATGAAGTCCTAGTACTGGGCGATGGACTGACATTCATTTAATAAGTTTTAGAGCATGCCTGGGTATGGCTGTAGGAAATGAACAAATGCAGGTGGTTTTGGCAGTCAGGCTGCAAATTATTTCAAGCCTATCTGAAGGCTCTGATTAACTCCTAGATGGCAATGAATATGATTTTCTTTAATATGTCTAAAACGCAAATTGGCATTAGGGAAAGCGCTGTGGGGCAGGACAGATACCCGGAGGGGGTCTCACTGGGAATCTGGCTCGGCTCAGCATTTAAGAACATGCTAATTTCTCACTTAAGCAACTGGGATTCTAATTATGATCTTTATTACAGCTTCAAAAAGGAGAGAAGCTACTGAAAGAACTTAAAACCTCATTGAGAAAGGATGCAATTTTATGTCATTTTCTTCGCTAATAGCAGAGTATTTACATAATGTCAAACTGAAACATGTATCAAGTAACACTGAAGGAAAAGCCAGGTCTTGTCACTCCGCAGCAGGCTTGACTGTTATGACTTAAGGAAAGCGCAGTTATCGTTCACCGTGGATGAAAGACGTAATTGGCAAACCTCTTCTTTTTTGTGGATATTAAACTTAAACAGTTGGATAAGAAGAGGTTTGTTACTGTATTTTAAAATTCCACAATTTTGTGGCTAAAATAGAAAAAAAAAAAATATTGAAAATCCCAGCAGTGTTTGTAGATGTATATACCTGTTCCCTAACGAAAACAGAGAACAAAAGTAGCATCAGCAATGTTCTCCCTAAACTCCACATAAAACTGTTCCTGTCCTCACTATCCAACCCCCGCTGCCCCAAAAAACAAAAAACACCAGCCATTCTCACTGCTTATTTTCATCTCCTCAATGGCAAATATAGCATGGTGTTTATATTTTTTTTTATCATGGTGCTCATAATTTGTGAACCACAACTAAAAGACTGTTGAACACATATACTTCCTCGTATCTATGAACAATTATCTTTCCAGAATGAAGGTCTTGTACAGATCTGCCTGTATATCCCATCCCCAAAATTACTCAGATTGCCTTACAAAACTCTATTCCTTCAAGCAGACAGAGGACTCTCGCACAGGATGAATGGGATTTTAATTTCAACCAACTACATTTCTATCACCAAAAAACACACATGCAGCCAGAGAAAAACACTTTGTGTTGGCTTCTGTGCTGCACGTAACGTACACTCCCTCACCAGAAGCCAGGCTATAAAGGTTAGCAAGCAACCCTGCCTGCTGCTCTCATCTGCAGAGTGATTTTTCCCCATTGATGTGCTTCCTCAGCCGGGCTGTTAAAAACATACACTATCCACTCCCTGTGTCTCTGAAACTAGCTGCTCAAATAGCACGTGATCAAAGATAAGTAGCAGGGAGAATTCCACAACCACCACCACTGAGAGAGGATTAGGGAATGACTTGCAGGTTCGGCATAGACATGAAATGAATTCGTGAATTGAAAGTACTTTTGGTTTGGTCTGTCTTTGAAAATACACTCTCTGCTAGCTGCCCTTCCCCAGTACAAACAATTCCCCGCTCGTTCTGCTTGCCAGCTTCCCTTGGGGCACACAGCCTGGCCTGGCAGCGTTGCTGGCTTTTCACTACCCTCCAGGCGCCTGCAGGGACCCTTCATTTCAGCAAAGACTGAAAATGCCAGACCTTCCCTCCACCCAGCTTCAGGCTAGGACTGTGAAATTTTGCCGCTTCCCGGGGAGGCTGAGGAGACCTGTTACTATATGGTCAAATGTGTCCAAGATGCTTCCTCTCCCACATACAAATTTGAAGCACCTCTGCTGATGTTTGTCATACTTCCTCCCACCTGGCCTGCACTCGCCAGTGCCTCAAAAATAGGCCAGTTTCTTCCGAACTATCAATTTTCTAATTAAAACCCTGATCAGTTATGAGGAATAAGCATCACCAATACGATTTATGAATGCTAGTAAACGATGACACCCTTCTGTGACTGCAGCATCCTTGAGGTTTCTGCAATGACCAGCAATTGCTCCATGGGCTCCTACCTCAATGCCTGAGGGTGTACGGAGTGAGCCATGAGCAAGAAACAAGCTATTCTTGGGATGAGGCATCAAGGTTAGGAAACAAAAGCCAAGCTTTTAAGCAGCCTTTGCTCCAGATTTGTATAAAGATGACCAGTTCTAAAGGTGGGCCAGCAAGGGAAAAACGTATTTTGAAACATGGGCAACAACATAAAACTGCTTCCTTGTGAAGAACTTTATGGATCTTAATAACCTCATATATCCCCATAAAAACCTCTAGACGCATAAAACCAATTACTTCAGGTATGGTTTCATGTTACAGTTAATCCAATATAAGTGTGACACTCCTACCAAAAAAGGATGTACCCCCTCCACTACGATTTCATCAGATCAAGCGTAGCAGCCTGTCTTACTCACTCACGCGCCACTAAGGCAGAATATGCACCAGGTGGAATATGTAAGGAAGTGATATAAGTGCTCAGAAAGACATTTTGTGTATGATAAACATATAACACCACAAGTATGGCTTTGCTCCTTGCTTGTTAATGCAATGATTTTTGCTGGAATGACCTATTTAGTGGGCATTTGGCAACAGGGGACAGACTGGCACAAGTGGCAAAAAGAACAACAAAAATCCTGTTTGCGTCCTCAAAATAAATTGCTCGCTCTGTCCTCATCAAAAGGGTATACGCTACATATGACTTGCAAATATGCAAACTGAAGGAAAAGGATGAGGGAAGAACAAAATACTACCATGTCTAAGCATCATTCAAGCACCCAACACACAGCCAGAAATATCCAAACTAAGTAGTAATTCACCTTCTCTCAACAGAATGTTATTTTCCTTCTACTGCTTTTGAGAGGCTTTGAACACCTACCTATCACACTAAGTTCAAAAGAGCCTCAGCCTGAGAAAGCCTCATCTACTTTCGGTACGCTTCTCTTCTACTGAACTGACTGTTTAGGTCCGAGACAGCAAATTACATTCAGAGACTAAAGCTCCATGACACAAACATCCCAAGTGTACAAACTTAGTCTAGGCTACAAAACACTTCTTTCCAATGCAACATATACTTTTTGAAGCTTCTCTAGACTGGAATTTATTTTTAGTTGAGTATTTTACGCAAATTGCATTCTTTATAATCAAAACACTACAGTTCGTGTTAGCTGAAAGTACTTCAGAAATGTCTTTTAAAATAGAATATCCTAGCATCATTCCTTTAGCTTGCAGAAAAGAGCACGTTTAGGCAGAAAACACCTACTGCACAAAGGCAGTCTTTTCTTTGCAAAGCAAAGCTCAGGCTAGTAATACCAGTCTGCATTAAATTCAGTAAACGTTAATATTCTAGATAACAGCACATGCTGTGTTAGCTACAAACCAAGTATTAAATTATCAGTACGTGAGATTTAATTGTACATTTGATACAAAAATATGACTATTTTTAGTTTATCACTCCATAACTCCTAAGTGAAAGCAAAGCATAAGTACTATAAAACATAAATAAAGAACAATATGCATGATTGAATTGATTTTTTAATATATTTTTTTTCATACTAATCTGTTTATAGTAAATTCCAGGGCTAAGCAGCTGTCCTTATACCCAAGCATCTCAGCAGGGACAAGATTTGCAAAACAAACTTTTTCAAACGTTCTCTAATCTTCAGCAATCTGCAGGTTTTTACAAAACTTCCTGCTTGTCATGTACTACAATATTTGTTCTCACAACCTTTTGCTTACTCCTTGAACTTCACTCTTGCCTGCACTGTTTCCTACTTTTCTGTTACCTGATGTTTATGCCCTTTTTCTTTATAATGGCACCACCAGAGTTATATTTCCAAACTCTGTAGGAACCGTAGCTTAAGTAGCTGCTTGAGTGTCAGCGTTTCATGACAAATTTCCATTTCCTTTTCAATGCAGTGTGTTTTTCACTTTCTGAGCTGCTATTGAGCAGCCTGCAAGCTAAAGCAAAGCAATCTACACCTTTGCCTTTCTAAAAGCAGCGTCAGTATTTGGTTACTTTGCTTTTGTTGCTTCTCCTCCTGAGAAACTGCAATGTAAGTATTTGTAGATACTTACTTTAATCACATTAAAATTGCTACTACTAACGAACGGCGATGAGCTGGTATTAGTTTTCACCAAACACTGCATAGATAGTTGGAAATACAGAGTTGCTTTCTGCCTGACCTAAGGCTAGCTGTTGAGGAACCATCCTCTATCAAAATACCTCTTTAAACAGGGGGAGTTTGGGTTTCTTCTTGTTCCTCAGTTAGGCTTTGCAGTTCCCGGATCTCTTCCGGTATTATGCCCCTCAATATGGGCAG